AGCTGCCGTGGAGGATGCCCCGATTTCGGTGCGAGACTTCCTCTCCCGCCGCTTCCCCCCGGCCTCCCACGCGCGGGGTGCCGTCAACTGCTGCCGCCTCAGAGGGCGAGTCGGGAATCGCTTAAAAATCGGTGTTTTTCAGGGAAGATGGAGCCAACGAGGGGCTGGAAGTCCTTTGGCAGCGAGGGGGCCGTCGGCACGGCTTTTGGGTGCCGCAGGGTGGGGGCAGGCGTGGGATGGGTCCCAGTGCCAGGTGACGCTGGGATGCTGCCGCTGGGAAAACCTTGCCGCAGGCGGTGTGTGTCAGGGATGCTTTTCCCCCACGCTGCCCAGTTTTTCTCACTCCCTGCTTTGGCTCTCCTGGGTGCGAGACCCTGCCCGGACCCTGCCCTGGGCTTGTGCGTGATCCCAAAGGGGATGAAAACTCCCGGAAGGGTGAAAGCAGAGCTGGCTGATGCCAGGTTTTCGCTCCTCTCCCCATGGCAGAAATGGAGGAAGTTCTGGGGTGTTTTGTACCGGGAAAGCTCCTGCTCCATCGCCCGCCTGGAGCTCTTCGAGGGCTCGGCGCCGCCGGCTGCCGACAAGCTGCGCAAAGGCGAGGGCAGCAAGCGGCTGGTCAAGCTGAGCGACTGCGTGCACGTGGTGGAGGCGAGCGGCGACGCCGGCTGCCCCAAGGAGACCGTCCCCTTCCTCCTGGAGACCACCGACAAGCGGTACCTCCTGGCCGCTGACGGCACCGAGGCGGCCGGCTGGATCCAGAAGCTGTGCGAGCTGGCCTTCCCGGTACGCACGGGGTACAGCGGGATCCGTTGGGATGGGGAGAGGCCGGGGGGATTCCGTGCTCTGCCCTCGCTCACCCGCTGCTCTTTCCCGGGCAGAGAAGCAGAGAGGAGCAGGCGGCAGGCAAAGATGGCCAGCAGACCTCGCTGGGCGCCGACGGTGAGTTCTCCATGGAGGAAAACTCCCTCTACAGCTCCCGAGGCAGAGGTAGGCACCGGGAGGTGGGGAAGGCGCGGTGGAGCTGGGTTGCCTTGCGTGTCCCGCAGCATCTCATCGCCCCCGCGTCCCGAGCCACCTCGGCCGGTTTTGCGCCGGGGAGCAGCCCCCGCTGCGGCTACGTGCAGGCGAGGGTGTAGAAATTCTCCTCCCGAAATAGCCTCTTCCTGCTCTGCGGTTTGGCAGGGCTGGGGTTTGCTGTGCTATCGGGCTGCTCCCGCGTGGCCGGAGCCCTCCAGCCCTTATCAGCCGGACACCGCTTCCCCACATGAGCCCCACGGCACCTCTCTGGGGTGGGAGAGGCAGCTCTGCTCTTGCAGCGAGGAGCTCCGCTCCTTGCATGTGTTCAATGCCGCCCTCCTCCATCCCCAGCCGGCTTGGAGCAGGCGTTCAAGGTGACGGTGAGGGCCACCGAGTCCTCCGAGCGTTGCCGGCTCTGGGGCCGGTGCATCCTACGAGCCGGCGAGGAAGCGCTGGAGCTGCGGGATTTCCAGACCTTGGAGATCCTCTACAACTGGCCCTACCACTTCCTGCGGCGCTTCGGGAGGGATAAGGTAAGGGAGATCCGGGAAGGGTGGGCTGGCGGTGGGCTGTGGCGCAGGGACCTGATCCTGTCCCTCCCCAGGTGACCTTCTCCTTCGAGGCCGGCCGGCGCTGCGCCTCCGG